GCAAATTTCTCGCATCTTTCTCTCCAGATAATCCTATAAAAACATTCTTGTATAACATAACAGAGTGTCTCATAGCACTGACGGCTTGACCTGGACTTTTTGTTTATTTCTTGAAGCTTTGTAAGGTCTGCTTGACTGACCAAACCCTGCATGAGCATCTTTCTTTTTCCTATAACTATCTCACGTGAGTTGCCAAATACTACGTCTTTGAAGTCTCTTATAGTATACTTGAATCTTGTTTCCTCTTCGAGTGTAGCCCACGCCAAAGCTAATGCTTGTTTTTCTATTTCTATCCATATCTCTTTATAGGCTTCACAGCTAAAGAAATGATCTAGATCCTCTACCACATCTACTTTGTATATAATACAATTAGCTGAAGAGTATATTTGTGGGCTACGTTGATGCAATTTGTCTAGTGTTGGAAGCACTTGGAAGAAACCCTTAACTCGTTTGACTAGTTTGTTACTAATAGCTAGTGATCTACACTTCTGACCTCTTAGTTCCGATAGCCTTTTCTAACATAATGCCCAAGAAGGGTTGTTTTCATGCTCAGATTTTTGTAGAGGCTCACTGCTCTTTGACAAGTACCATTTACTCTTCACAATTCTTCTTTTAACTTTTAATATGAAGCTCCATAGTGGGTATTCAATACTTTTGTCTTGCCAAAGTATATCAAAACTCCAACAAGGGCAGATACTGCTTGGCCATTTCCATGTATCATCAAGATAGGCCCTTTCCTTTGCTGTACAATCTGCTACTTCATTTTATTTTATACCCGAATATGCTTTAATCTTTAACAACTCAAGATTAAGTGACTTGAAATGAACTATTTCTGTGATCTTGTCGAGAATTGTTCTGTTTTTCCTTTTAAGTCCTTTATTGAAGCTCTTTTCACTTAGCACATCTCTTATTGCTAAAATTGCAGCAGCACTATCAGTTTTTATTTGCACTTTTGAGTTTGAAGCTACTGTTAAAAGTGCACATAATATTGCTAAAAGCTCTGGTCTTGTGGATGATGGCCAATTACCAACTCTCGCTCTGCTCTTGAATATCAAATCTTTCTTATCTTCTAAAACCTGAACCCAGCCTATGCCCATTCTGTCTTTATTAAGTTTGTTATACTTGTTTGGAATCCATGAACCATCTGTATAGAAGATATTTCTTTTTCTCTTATGTTCTAGGTTAACTCTTAGTCCCTGAGATAGTAGAGCTTTAATATTGGCTGAAAGCCCTAAATTCTCTATATATTCTACGTTTTTATTTTCTACAACCTTTATGTGGTCGAATGTTCATTCTGGCATACTCCTTTCTCTAACCAGTAAGCTATATATCTCCATTGAGATTTTAAGGTGTAGGCCCTCCTCATCTTTCACTATATACTCTATTTTACCTAGCACTTGATCTAATTCTATATTAAACCTATAACTACTTTCTACTATGTTGTTATAATCACAACCCTTGCATCGCACTAGCCTAATATCTTTTTTAATTAGGTCTCCTTCTACCTAGTGTTCTGCTAATATCCCATTTGGTCCCTTCTCTTGCACTTGGCCAATTTCTAGCTGGCTTGTTTCTTTTCTATAGTATAGGATCCACTCTTTCTGTCTTTTATCCTGGCTTATCTTTGGTAGGCTGGGCACTATAGCCTCTTCATTAATTTCTTGTGTACGAAACTAGGCTTTTATTTTACATTCTCCTTCACTCTCAAGCAATCTACTCTCGATGGACCTGTACCAGAGTGGGGTCATGCCACTACAGCTTTGATTTTTTAATGCTTTTACTTGCTACCATGTTAACAAGTTTTCACCCTTTATATCTAGTAGTTAATTAATGAAGTAAAGCCCCAAGCTTGCTTGTTGCTTCATACTTTTTTTTTTCTGCAAAAGGTCTAATATGCTTGCAATTGTTGCTTCCGACCCCAATATACTCCAGCCTTTTTCTTCTATACCAAAAAATATATCTACCTTTTTACATTGTTCTATCATGTTAAGTGCGATATTGCCTTTGTAATTGGGGTTTGCCTCTGGTGATGGGACTCTCCAGACATTATGTACTATGCCTTTTTTTAAAATTCCTTGTCTAATTCTCATTTTGTAATGTTCTCTATGATACCAGTACTATTTAGTCTTTTAAACAGTGCTATAGTCTGTTTTGCTAGTACTGCATTTGCGAGTAGTTTAGTTTCTAATGTACCCCCGTGTGCTAGAATACTATTTGGTACTGTTTGCGCAATTCTCAACTTTTTTTTTATTAATTGAAAAAAGGCTAATGGATTGTATTTAACTCCCTTTTTGTTAGTGCTACGGTTTGTAAGATATACTCCAATTTGGGAATTAATACCTAGTTATTTATAAATACCAAGTGGCTAGCTGTGGCCTTTTTCTTTTCTAATTTACATGTGAATAACCTAACGATCTGTTTTATCTTTTTCTTGATCTCTGCCACCTCTTTTCTGATATGCAGAAAGGTTCCAAGAAACCGTAACTCGTGTAGCTTCTTATTTGCTTTAACTAATGCATTTCCATATTCTATTTGTCTGTCTACTGTCGGGAGCTTTGAGTTTAGTACTATTAATTGCGATTTGCTGCTGTTGATTTCTATACCATTTAGTAAGAAAAACTGTTCTGCTAATTGAGTTGTTTGTTTAAGCTAGTCCTTTGAACTCACAATCCATGTAGTGTCGTCAGCATATGCGAGGACCGCTTGTCTAATAGCTTTTGGCTTCTCGATTCCAAACAGGCTCTCTACTTGTTCTGATACTTT